TACTATCATTATCTTCAGATGGAACAGGAAGATATTGTTCCGGCGCAATTTGCTTAAATTCATCAACAGGTATTAACGAAATATTTTCAAATTTAAACCTAAAATTAAATAATCCAGTAAATATAGTCAAATATTTGGAATTAGCATAAAACAAAACAAGCAGTATACTTTACATAATTTACCTGCGTGGAACTCTACTGAGCATGTTTTTTAATAAACATTTTTGAAACAAGACATCTTGTAATTTCATATGTGCACGATCCATTTTTACCTTTGCACAATGAGTTTCGCTTTTAACTTGGTGTTTGTCCTGACACATTTTTTGATTGAGTCTTCGAAGCTTAATAAATTTCAAGTCTAAATGGCGTCTTATTACTGGATTAAGAGTCCACTATTTACATTTTAACAGGAAAAATGAATAACTCAAGGTATAAAAAAAAGTTGTTAGAAAATTAAGAGAAACGAACATTATTATCACCAGCCTCCTTACTTTCCCATAATTTGGTACTGATCTGTTTGATTTCAGAGCATAATTGCATAGCTTCGATTATTGTTGGCAAGGTGGGTACAATATTATTATCAGTATGAAAAACTCGATCATTTCCGTCAAATAGATCCGAAATGCATCGGAAAGATGGTTGTTGGGAAGTTGAGATAGATTGAGAATCAGAGTCGAATTGAGAATCAAGATATTTTTAAAAGCTTTGTTTTTATCTCTCAAAACTCTTCTATGAAAACACATGGGTTTTGTCTCTTCTCTATCAAGCAAAATATACTATCCCACAGATTTCATATAAAATTTTTACATAATTATTGTCACAATCTAAATCCCATTTTTCAAATTATTGTCATTACAGTATTACAGTACTTGCATAGTAACTTATGATAAATATTAGCGATAATATCGGATATGAAGTAATGGGAATAAAACAAATTGTATATTAGTAATGATGTGATACAAAAATGAAAAATGGTTAATTGGGATAATTTTGTTTCTTCTGTGAACCAACATTAGTTCTGGCTATATTGAACTTATTCACCCTACCTGGAACAAATTTAAAGCACCCTATTCATTTGTACTAGGTATTTTTTTAAGTAGCGTTGTTAATGGAGTACTCTAATCTATAATAAAACATATAAACCGCTCCAGTTTTAAACTGGAGTAGTTTTTACCTAATATATTTATTTTATTATTGATTGGAGTTATTACATTTAAGAGTAGGGAGTACATAGATCATTTTTTATATACAATTAATAGTTTTTTTTTATATAGTGACTAAAATTTTGCTTCTAATAAAACTTTTTTAATTTTACTTAAAATTTATAAATTTTTTTTATTATATATAGTTTAAAATAATAGATTTTTTGTTATAAAATTTTAAAATCTATTTTGTTTAAAAAATCATACTTGCATATATCTTAAAAAACTTAGATTAACTTAAAAAAACTTAGATAGTACAAACTATTTTATTTTGATTGGCTAATTTACATAAATCTATAAATTAAACTTTATAGTAAAAAATAATACTCAATCTTAAAATTATTATATTTTAATAATTTTATATCAATTTTAATAAATTTATTACTAATAGAATCACAAGAACATACTCTACAACTTAAAGTATAAAAAATATTTACTTAATAAAATATTTTGTAATATTAAAAAATAAAAAAATATTATTAAGTTTATATATAATTTTAAAGTAGTATCTCTTATCTTTAAACAATATTAAATTTACTATATAGCTGTTTTCATAAATTCTAAGATATTTGATAAAAAAAATTGATTAAACTAATATTTGCTGATTTAATAAGTTTGTAGTTTTGATAATGATTAATATATATTTTATTAATATATATTCTTTTTGTATAGTAAAATTTGTATATACTATATATTAATAGTGATACAGCAACTTGATAATTCTAAAACTTGTATAATCTATAAGTAGCTTTATTAAAAAAAAGATATATTAGAGTTGGTAAGTTAGTAAAGGTTTTATAGGTATATTTATTCTTTTTATATTATTATTTTAGTATTTTTTTATAATCTATTCTTTGTATTCTTTAAATTAAGTAAGATTTATTCTCTTTATTCTATTTCTTAGATTTTAGTTTCTAGTTATCTTTAGATACTACACTACCTCAAAATTTTTTTTATCTTGCTTTAATTTCAGTTAGTCTTAGTTTGTTAAAACTTAATTAGATAAGAAGTACATATTATAATTAAGAATTTTATAAAAAATAAGGTTTATTACTATACTATTTTAGTAATAAATTTAGATTAGAATAATTAGTAAATATATTTAATTAAGAAAATTTATTATATAAAATAAATTAAATTATTATTTTATAAATACTAGTATACAAATAGTAATTCTCTTTTATTTAACTAATATATTCTTTTATAATTCTATATATCAAATTAATAAAATTCTTATTAGTCAAAATAACTATTTATAGTTTTACTATAATTAGCTTTTGTTATATCAATAAACTAGTTATAATAATTTGACTAGTTATTTAATAATCTAAGTTTATTTTGTGTTATAAGTAACTTTTGTTAAATTGTTTTAATATATAAAAATATTTTAACTTAGTTAATTAGTACAAGTAAACTATTAATTAGAGTTAAAATACTAAAAACTAAACTGAATTATTTAAATTGCTTACCAAATTCTTTAATTGAAACCTAAAATAACTTAGTAGCTAATTTGCTAATTATAAATCTTTTACTATATTTATTTAGAAATTACCTCAATTCTAAATCTATAATAGTTTATTTCAATATATGAGATACAAATAAATATCTTAATTGAGTTTAATTATTTTCGAGTTAATAATTTTGTTAATGTATATATGATCTGAATATATAAATATAATGTTATAATTACTAGTTTTTGATCATAACATTATCAGTATTTAAATATTTTGTTAATACCTGTTGATGAATTTAAGCAAATTGCGCCGGAACAATATCTTCCTGTTCCATCTGAAGATAATGATAGTA